GATTTTACTGTAAAGTACACTACAATATAATCTGCATTTATATAGCAGTTTCATTTTGGGAGGCCATCGCAAAGCGCTTGACAATGCTGGCAAAGTCACCCAAGCTAGACGTAGAATCCCATTTAAAATGTTATATGACGAAAAGCAAGGGGTTAATTATGATCATTTGCTAAGCAGTAAACAACACTCAAGCCTTGCACACACCTGGTTGAGGCTGGAGAGACTCATTGACACAAGAGCTGTCACCACAGTACACTTGTAAACTCATCCAAGAGAGATTAATGTGGCGCCCCCTAGTGGAGAAAGGCAGCAGTGCAGCACAAGGCAATACAGGCATGGCAATACTAGAGGACCAAGGCCTCAAATTCCACATGGTCTTAGTCTACGAGACCACTGTGTCTTGAAATTAAAGATCGCTCACAATTGTGAAAAATACATGAATTCAATCTTAATTTTTTTTTCACCAGCTGGTTGTCTGACACTTGTGGAAGAGGATGGAATCCAGACTGAGAGTTCCACATCTGTATGCCACCTACACATAGAAATTACATGTGTCTGGACTATAATGCACACTTTCTCCCTCTCATACTGGAGTTAGTATTTAAGAAATGTCCAGAACTTTTCACTAATGCAAAACGGTCTTGCAGGTTAGGAATTTGGTGGTACAGTAAACCTCACATAAGTCGTATCAATTGGGATTATCCATTTAATATGACTTATGCAAAGTAGGAATTATGCAAAACTTATTAATAATAGGAAATTCAACAGGACTTGGGCAGATGTACAACTTTGTTTCCAACTACACAAGAAAACAACAAGAGGTAATAGGATAGAATGTATTGAAGGCACACAGCTGACAAATGCAAGACAAAATCAATAGCGTTCAAAAGATGTCTGGACCAATTAAAAGGTCGAGGCTATGATAAAACGAACAGGTTTCTGTGAGGAAACGCTCAAAAGGTTACACACCGGGGCCGGAACCATGTCCTCAAATAATAGTTGTACATTAACCAAATGATAACTATAGCAGCTAAAGCTAGTTACATAGAGTGGTTTGTGGAAACCATGATCTGCAGTGACTTACACACATTAATGCACAATATCCATTTGAATCTCACACACACTTTGATGGTTCAATTGAGCAGGAACTATACGTGGAACCACACGGACCAGAATTTGTTGCAGGCATTGGGTCACACTTTCCTATGGTTTCTACATCTCTGGGAAATTTCCTTTAATGAGACTTAAATGTAAGTGACTTTACACAATACATGGGGATTTCTATTTATAGAGTGCCTTTCATGTCTGGAGGATTTCTCTAGCAATTTACAATGCTGGATGAGGCACCCGAGCTGGGGGTGGGTTCTGAGGGGGGCGATGAGGAGGGGAAAGATGAGTGAAAGAGCAACCTGAGAGGTACATTTTGAGATATGCCTTAAAAGAGGGGAGGGTTCATGATGGAGTACCAGAAAGCGTGAGCAGAAGAACTGAAAGCTTGCCCGCCGATGGTAACGCAAATAGAGCAGGACACATGAAGCAGGCCTGTGTTCGCTGAATGAAGGGAGAGACTGGGTCGATTGGGTTGAAAGGGATTGCAGATAGGGTGGGTGAGACCGTTAAGGGATATAAAAATGAGAATGAGGATCTCAAAATCAATCGCTGGGGGGCAGGGAGCCAATGGAGTCTTCAATACCTCTTTTAAGAACTCTTGTTCAAACTTCTAAATGCCTCCACCTACTTGCGCCCACCCGACCTCTAATCTCCTGTGGTTTCACTCCCTTCACCATTGGTGGGTGAGTCTTCAAGCACTCTGGCCCACCATCTGAAACTCTCCCAAAGCCTCTGCTTCACCCTCTTCTCCACTTTCAAAACCTTTCTTAAAAATCTATGCCTCGTTGATTGTTGCTTCAGTCACCTCCCCACTTTATTCCCTACCCCCAACCTCCCCCCCCCCCCCATCTCCCACCATGCTCAGACTCTCCTTAGGTCTCTGTGAAGCGCTTTGAGATGTTCTATGGGAAAGGTGGTGCTTCTCCATGATAGTTATCTTGTCATCTTTGTCTTCTTCATTTTTGTATTCTTTGTCAAATTCATCTTTGTCAATATCTGAATGAAGTCTTCAGATAGTCTTCATCAGCATTGTCTCCTTCATCACCATCTTCTTCATTATCTTTATCATCACCACATTGTGCGATTCATCACGTAAGCAAGCACAGGACAGAGCAGAGGTGCGCACATTTCCCCCGGACAAGCAACAGTTAAACTCAGTGAGAAAGCTCCCAGAGGCAGAAGATGCTGGCAAAGGCGGGAAGCTGCGAACAGTTTTCGTTAGCGGAGTCCCTTTGGAGCGATCAGCTTTCAAGCCAAAGACTGGTGCATGGGAACACAAGAGCATTTGATGTCTTTTTATTTGCAGTGTTGTGAAACCCTAACACCAGGACATGACCTTTACTTCAAACCTTTGGGTCAGAGATATCCTAAGATCAGCCCCATTGCACAGCAGCTTGCAAATCTGTATCTCGCAGTTCAATACAAAAAACAGGCTTTTTCTGTTTTTTTTTATTTATTGCAGGTCATTTATTTTAATCATTTATGCAAGTCTACAACCAAATAATAATTCTTGCAATTGACACAGTGCCTTTCACACCGGGAGGATGTCTCAACAACAACTTGTATTTATATAACACCCTTCAAGTGGGGCAGCATCTCAAAGCGCTTCACAGCAATGTCCCACAAACAAATCCAGTCAATATACTCTACAGTGAAGTGAACTTTTGAGACACTTAAATGATGTGAGAATGCAAATGCAAGGATTATTACTATCAGATAACGCAAAGCAGTAGGACAAATGGGCAGAGATTCAGGATTGCAAAGAGCAATTGCTCTTTTAGAGGTATTTCTACACACAGAGTGTAACTGACAGGGGTCACCAGGTAGGCTGGCGGAGGCCAGGATGCTGGACTTGTTAAAAAAAAGTGGTGCTGTGACAAGATGACAGAATGGCAGGTGGTCTGGAAAAGGGGTCCCATTCCAGACATCAAGAAATTACATATGTAAGTGGCATGCACATGTGGAACTTTCAGCCTGGTTTGGATACTCTTAAGCATGGTGATGTTTAAGTCAGAACCAAAAATGAAATCAGCTGTTGTCCGGAACATCGCCAGACTACGGCACTACCTCACCCCTCACGCTGCCGAAACCCTGGTTCACGCCTTTGTCACCTCAAGGCTGGACTATGGGAACGCTCTCCTCGCCGGCCTTCCCGCCACCTCCCTCCACAAGCTGCAGGTCATTCAGAACTCTGCAGCTCGTGTACTGTCCCGCACCAGGCTTCGGGACCACATCACTCCCATCCTCGCTCGCCTCCACTGGCTCCCCATCCCCCAGAGGATTGATTTCAAGATCCTCATCCTCACCTACAAGGCCATTCACGGCCTTGCTCCCTCCTACCTCTCCAACCTACTATCCCCTTACCTACCTGCCCGTACCCTCCGTTCCTCTGGCTCCGGTCTGCTCCACGTCCCCCGCCCCAACCGCCCTACCATCGGTGGTCGGGCCTTCAGCCTCTCAGCCCCGAGGCTCTGGAACTCCATCCCCCAGTGCCTTCGCCTTCCTTCTTCCCTTTCCTCCTTCAAGGCCGGTCTCAAAACCTTTCTCTTTGACCGTGCCTTCAGCTCCCCTCTCGACTCTCTTCCCCCTCCTCGCTCCCTCCCTTCCCTCCCCTCACCCTGACCATTTCCCCCCTGCTCGGGTCATGACCCAACTGTGCAGCGCCTTGGGACGTCCTCCTGACGTGAAAGGCGCTTTATAAATGGAATCTTGTTGTTGTTGTTGTTGTATTCTGATGGCTTTGCTTTGTCCTATGCTGCATGGTTTCCTACAGAATTCGTAACACTCCTTCGGAACCCAACTTTTAGCAGAGAGACATTAGCAACCTGGTGACATACATTCATGAAGTGAGTCAGATACATTTCTGTGTAACAGTGTCAGAGTCTCATATGCAGCTTCAAGCTTGGTTCATCTCAGAAGATTGAGTTCACAGGTTTCACTGATGTGGATTGTCAGGGCTCCAGGCACTCCAGAGAAACATTTAGGAACATTCGCAGGGAGAGCTACTCAAGATTGTTGCAGTTGGTCCACCTGGATCCTTCAAAACTCATATAAATATTCCTTACATTTGACAAAGCACCTCTCATGTCGGCAGGACGTCTAAAAGTGCTTCTTAAGATTCACTGTAAAGTGCAATGACTCTGTGTTTTGTAGTCGAACTTGTTTTAATGTATCATCTGAAGGACGACATCTCTGACAACCCATGCTCCTGCACTGGAATGCCAGCCTAGACTGTGAGTTCAAAGTCCCATCATGGAGCTTGAACCTATAACTTTCTGACTCAGAAGTGAAAGTGCTACACTGAACCAGGCTGATAACTCAATAGAATTTTTCACCAAATAGCTATCTAACTCCCTGGTGAATTTTCGATGTTGGATGTGAGATGGAGTTGCGAGGATTTTTTTTATGCTTAAATTCTGGACAGATGGTCTGAGCGCAAAGATCTTGTACAACCATGTTTCTACATAACAACCACTCGGATCATTTGGTTGCACTCTTGCCTCAAGGCCAGAAAGTTTTGAGCTCATAGTCCAGATTGATCATCCAGTTCAGTGCTTTTAGGAGAATGGGCGACAAAGGCTGTATTTTTGGAGGTGCTATCCTTCAGATAAGACGTTAAACTGTGATCCCGTCTGCCGCTTCTTGTAGCCGTTAACTGTCCCACAACACCTGGTAAAATTGCTCATTCCCTGCCTAGCTGATTTTGGGACCTTGCTGTGAGAAAATTGGCTGCTGTGTTCGCCAACAAATGCATCAGTACAGCAATTACCTGTGAAATGCTCTTGAAATGATACAACATTTTAGGCTCTCTAATAAATTGAAGGTTTTTTTATTATTATTACTATTATAATAATAGTGAATTTTTTTTAACGAAAGACCGTCACACTTACCTACAGGCTGGTATCCTTGCCTGGAAGGTCCCCCGAATGGATTCCGGGCACCAAAGCCACTGCCATCGATAGCCCCGTATGACATGTTGCTGATGGCAGACCAAGTTGTGGGCCTCTGAACACTGCTGGGGAACAGACACATCCCTGTTAGAACGATCATTTGATCTAAACCACATCAAAAGATTGTATGTGCAAACACGTGTTAAGAGAGTATAATTCAAGGTCAGAATAATTGCTCGCTGACCCTCAGCCTTAGGATACAAACCTACCTCACATAACATGGGTTCAACCTACAGAGTGCGTTCCAACACAACAAAGAAAAGCTTTGAACAACTCACCCTCGAATGCCTCAGGTTGGTCTCATGCTATCGCATGCTAGAGCAGAAAGAAAGTCTACCCGCACCCTTCCAACCAAATCTGTGTTAGCCTCCCTTTACCTTCCCAAAGAGGCAATTCTGATCCTGCCAAATCCCAAAGAGAAACCAATACTACCAAAATGCACAGAACTGCGTAGGACAACAATTTATACAGCGACTTTCACGTCAGGAGACCCTCACAAAGCACCTTACAAAGTCGAAGCAGGAGCCAAACCTGCGATAGATGGACATGCAGAAATATCGTCTTCAGTATATCTCAGGTCAATGCAGGCGTAAGGTGGACACGTGCAATATGCCGGATGTGTGGTACACTTCTCACTTCTGGCCCTGACTCGCTGGCTTCATGCACATTAGCCCCCCGATGTTTAGCATCTTGCTCTTTGTCCCAGAAAACTCTTTTAAAGTCCTATCTCTGGCTATCCTTCAGCTATCTCCCTTTACTTCCCTCCCCCTCTCACCACCCCCCCACCATCTCTCTCGCAGCTTCACCAGCTACATCCTTTTCCCAAAGAGCATTGGTGAATTGAGTCCCTTTCATCTGCTGGGATTGAGCACAATTTCCTTCTGATCATATGGTTTAGCTTACGTTCCTGTTACTGAATATCCACTGTAAAGAAGCCACTCTGGTGGATAAAGTCTGAGAAGTAAAGACTGGGAGTTCCTTTGTTATCAGAAGCTCTCCAAAAGAATCCACCAAACTCAGCAGACAAAAACTCTTCAGGGAACTGGTGGTGAATGCTTCTGAGCAGACATTTCCCCTGCAATTCTTTTACTGCACACTGAAGCTTGAGGTTCTTGCAGTAGGAACCAATCAACAACAACAACAACAAGATTCCATTTATAAAGCGCCTTTCACGTCAGGAGGGGACGTCCCAAGGCGCTGCACAGTTGGGTCAGGACCCGAGCAGGGGGAAATGGTCAGGGTGAGGGGAGGGAAGGGAGGGAGCGAGGAGGGGGAAGAGAGTCGAGAGGGGAGCTGAAGGCTCGGTCAAAGAGAAAGGTTTTGAGACCGGCCTTGAAGGAGGAAAGGGAGGAAGCGGCGAAGGCACTGGGGGATAGAGTTCCAGAGCCTGGGGGATGAGAGGCTGAAGGCCCAACTACCGATGATAGGGCGATGGGGGCGGGGGACGTGGAGCAGACCGGAGCCGGAGGAACGGAGGGTACGGGCAGGTAGGTAGGGGGATAGTAGGTCAGAGAGGTAGGAGGGAGCAAGGCCATGGATGGCCTTATAGGTGAGGATGAGGATCTTGAAATCAATCCTCTGGGGGATGGGGAGCCAGTGGAGGCGAGCGAGGGTGGGTGTGATGTGGTCCCGAAGCCTGGTGCAAAGATTCAGCTGAGATGTTAAACCTGCCTTCCTTCTTCAGGTGGGCAGATGTTGAAGAACCTTTGACACTCCACAAAAGGCTGAAGCAGCTTCTCCACATGTCCTGACTAACAATTCGCCAGATAAACTTGTTTGCTGGCCTGAAGGTGGTCCGTGGGACCTTGCATTGTGCATTCAACCTCCAATGTTTGCTGAGCAAACGCCAATGGTGGCAGGTGCACCATTCCTCCAGGAAGTGAAAATCAGATACAGGGAGTCAGTATTCTTCCCTCTCAGCTCCAGTTAACCGTGCAAGCCAAACCCCCACCAGATAGGGTGGTCCTCTCTGGACAAGCAGCAGGAAGTTTGCTAGACACTACTTTCAATGGCAAGTTATGTGATTTTAGCTGGTTAAGTCCAGCATCAACCAAACGCAAACTCAGGGATCTCCAGACCCCACGGCTTATGCCAACCTGCACCAAATATACCCCAGAATTTGGATAAGCAGGATGTGTCCCTTTAGGAAAAGTGCATATTCATTCCAGACACAAAGACATTTTACATGTGGAACTCCCAGTTTGGTTTGGATACGCTTAAACAGATTGATGGGTTTATACATGTGTCAGACACTCAGGTGACCACCAAAAAAGACTGACTGAGGGATTCAGAAACTCTTGTGAATCTTGCAAATTGTAGACTCCCCACTGGGTGAAAACCATCTGTCAAACTGGAGGCAAAGGAGTAATGTAATTTGTTGTTGTTCTTCCACCTTTGGCACATTCAACTTTCGGCTGATGTACAACAAAGGAGTTTGCAACTATACCAAGGTGACAATTTAAGATGCTCTCTCTTTTAATACTCTTTGCCCTCAAGATTGCTCTGCCTCGCAGACAAACTTAGTTCTGAAGATCGTTCAAAACTGGACCAGTTCTGCCGTTGCTGAGATTGCATTTGTGAAGCGAACAAAACCAATTCTGCCTTCATCTCATGAGTACTTTTCTGCTTTAAGCAAGATAAACATCTCTCCAATTAGCGAAGACCAACAATGTTTTGTCTTGTTCACCACAAACAGACTGAAAGAGCTTGGGGGTGGTGGTGGAGAGATGGATCATGCAAGAGGCTACACCTGAGGCTAGTGCTGTTGTACACAAGGAATATTTCGGACTGCCTGATCGGATTCTGAGGGAACTGCAGGGAAATGTGGCTACTGATGGGCAAAAGCAACACAGACCTAATCATAGATAATATCACCCTGCAGCTGTTCTGCTTCAATCCTAAACTTATAGTACACTATGTTTTTTTCATACATTCTCTATTGTACCCGTCAGCATCCTGAATCATCCTGACAATCATCCCCCCGGCATTATTTTCTTTACCATTCATCATCGTAATCCTCTGAGGGAGGTTTTTCCTTCATAAGCTCCGACTAACTCAACCAAAACTTCGCAGCCTGTATTCTCTCACACAACAGGCTTCCAATGTCCATTACCTCCCCAGGCCCCTCTTTCCCCACGACCACCCCAGCCTCACTCTTCCTCCCCAACCCTATCCAGCCAGCTAGCCATCCTCTTCAATTTCCACGGACTGCCAGTACACCAACTTCAAACCTGTCTCCTAATGTTAAAAAGTTTTGCTCCTTTGTATATCTGCTTTTTCTCCAGACCTATTCTGCTGCCTACGCCCTCCATTCAACTGACTTGGATCTATTTCTCCACATCATCATCACTAGGTAACGCTTCAACCACTAATGCATTAACCTGTGCTCTGGAACTCCATCCACTTGCTACCTATAGAATATATATCTGTTTGACCGTGCACTTGGTCAACATTCTTTCATTTCTCCCTCTTCCCCTCCTTTTCTTCTCTGCTCGGGATAGATATCAATCGACTTCTTAAAACACTTCAAGCTACAATGAAACAACACCACACACCCCCACCCCATATGAATTACACTGTATAAGTAAGTGCAGGTTGCACTCAAAATAGTTTTGAATGAGCATAAACAGCAGCTAGTGGCTGGGAATGGATCACGGATTTGTGATGTTCTCGAGGCATCTTGCGGAATTGCAAACAGTGCTCTCATCATCACCCATGTACCATTTAGTATCTAATATCCCTGTCCAAGTTGTCTCTTTTCAAAGTTGAAGAGCCCTATCATATTATGTCGATCCTCATAGAACCACTGTAATTTACAAACCAATAATTATCCTGGCGTTTCATATAGGACACCACTGAGAGAAAATCCTTTCTCTTTTTGAATAGTGCCACAAGATTGTTAATGTTGACCCGAATAGGCAGGCAGCACCTTGGTTCAACATCTCATCCAAACAACAGCATCTCCGACAATGCAGTTGTTCCCTAGCACTGCACCTCCCGCAGTACTGCTGATAGCTTGCCAGCTAAAAGCTATGCTATGCGGTATTAGCGGGTTAGACACCAGCAGTATCTCAACACACATTCATGGCTCTGCAAATCTGCACCTAATACTCTCCGAACGTAGATAAACAGGATACGTCCCAAGAGAGAGATTATGCATTCCACTCAATAAACATCTCTAGAATTTACATGTATAGGTGGCATGCATGGAAATCTCAGTTTGGTTTAAATATGGTGGTGAGTTTTCATGTGTGTCAGATACTTGGCTGACCAACAAAATAATATAATCCATTTCTTCCCTAGCCATGTTGTTTTATATTTCTAGCGAGCCCATCCCATTGTCTTAATACTGGGGGAGAGGGATGGAGTGGAGGAATCATGCCTTGATGATCTTCTTCGGTCTCCACCCCCTCATGGGCAACCAGAACATTTCTGTTGTATGGAAGCATCATTGAAACTAAACTCAATTGGTGTTTTTGACAGCTGCCTTCCTTTCTGCCTACCCACTCAGCCCCTACCTCCCCTCCACCAGTCGCTGCTATATTTTGCTAATCTCAATTCCCCGTTCCCCCCAACCCACAGAAGAGAAGAACTGGAACAACCTTGTAAAACTAGAGAGAGAAAAAAAAGTTGTTACACTGAGTAGACACATTGACTTTCTTCTCTCATGTCTGCATTGTCAGTGAAAATAGCATTATAATAATAATAATAATAATCCTTGCATTTGATATAGCGCTTTTCACGTCGGGAGGACGTCCCAAAGCGCTTCACAGAACACACTGTAAAGTGAATTGACTGTATATTTGTGGGCGAACGCATTGTCCCTTTTGAGGAAAATTACAACTATGTCCAAACAACAACTCCAAGTGCCCAGCTTAATAATTAACACAAGGTGACGGCTGGCAATTTGGAAGTGGTTGGGAGAGACATAGTGGTCGGTCTATATACACAAGTTGGCACTCCATTGCCAATCTGCAAAGTCTGCTCAGCTGTTCTCTTTTCCACTCACCCTTTCATCAGCCAGGCTATCTCTTCACAACTGGCACTGTCAAAATAATTGTCAAGC